TGATCACAACACAGCTAACAATAAAAGAAGTGTTGTTTCTTGAAAAAAAACGAAGAATTTTTGTTGTTGAGTACAATCAATGTAGTGATATGATGAAATTGATAAAGTTAATGATCACACTAACTTTGCAACATTTTAAATTAGTATCAAGACAGGAAGTTTGTTTAGATGAGTGTATTTGAAGTTTTCTTTATCTTGGTTTACCATTCACTGAAACGTTAAAGAAAGTCAAAAAGAGGTCTGAACTTTGATTGGGACAAAACGTAGTCGTCTACTTATGTAGAATGGAATGAATATTCTATTCTATTTCTTTCGATCCTCCATGATATCTTGGTATTTGTGTATCCTGTAATATTCACCAGTGACCACTAAGTATACCTGTTGCCTTCTACTTTCCTCATCTATTCTTCTTTCCATTGGCTAGTTGACTGGTGGTCTATATTTGGTATTCGTGGGTAGAACATGTTGACAAAAACAATCATTGAAAAAATGAAGTCGCTCATTGGAGAAAGCCTGGGTATTTTCGAATAAGAAGAATAGTTTTATGCTCATATAATTTCGAAATGCTGTGAAAAGATCTGTAACCTAAGCGGACGATTTTAGTGGAGTTCTATTCTCTGAGTGAGGTAGTATAATTGTGAAGTTTTCATTTTGAGTTTTGAAGTTTGTGCTGACAATGTTGCCTGTACTCAGCTAAAAATACCACACTATGAAGATAAATTGTAAACTATTTTTAAAATATTCGGAACTACTAAAATGTACGCCAAAACCTCCCAAATCAAATTACTCGATGAACAGGAAATGTAAACATCGAAGATATTTAGTGATTTATTTTAAGAATTTCACATTTAAAACTGTTGAAATTGTTTTTTATCCTAGGGTGTTTGGGAGATTGCTCAATTTGGAGTTTTGCAACAATGAATAACCGTTTAAAGATCTCCGTCATATTAAAAGACGAGTATTTGAACTACTAGTCTTTTAACAATGAATAACTTAGGTTAGACAGCCAGTTACAATTATAAGGCATCAGATAACTGCTTCCATACAGTTCGGGTCTCCTTAACAAAAAAAATCAATGCCCACAGCAAGAAAGGGATGCAAGGTGAGCAGGTCTGACGACGTGGTCAACTTTCAGACCATTGAATCAGTATCCAACACTTCACATTTCTGACAGTTTCGGGTGGGTGACAAATACTACCATTAGTTTAGGAATATTCGGACTTCATTGGACATGTAAACTAGTGAACACCAACTCATTGATCTGAAGGTTTGACGTTTAACACGAAATCTAAAGGTCAAAGGTCCCATGCCTTGCGTAGTCGTCAGTGCTCATTGATAGGTTATCTCCTTAACTGATTCAAAATTAATCAGAATTTTATTATGTAGAGTTTAGTACTTATTATCACCGTCACACAAACGGGGTTAACCTAGCTAATATACGGAGTCATATGGAAGATTTATGTCGATAACATATTTATACGTTCATCCGAATCCGAATTATATGAGCGTAACATTAAAATAGACTATTAAATTTATTTACACCTGTGCTATACTATGCTGATATTTCTTCAAAATAACCCCCAACTAAACTCTTTCATGTAAGTAATTTAAACCCATTTTGTAATTATGACTTTTAAATTCACAGGTTCTAAGCAGCAGCGCACTGTTGAGGAGTCCCATAGCAGGACGAAATGACCTTCCAGTGCTTCCAGGTTTCCAACGGTGGTCTAACATCAATCGGTTCATGATCTCAATCAAAAAATGAATTCATCCTAATCTACCAAAATTTTTGTTATTGCGCTTTCCAAGATCATGAACGGAACTATGTGTATAAAATATTTTTATTTCCTGATATTTTGTCGATGTTTTGTCTTTCAAATTGTCCAAAACAAATAACGGTTCGATGTTTTTCAGTACACTCATGTAATGGATAACATTTAGATGCGATCACTATTTATTTAATAAATTGTTTACCACACGGAAACCCCAAAATTAAACAAAAAGTAGACCATTTTATCCAATACCAACTTCTCCGTCGACGATAAATTGTATAACTTCTAAATGATAAACTTCATGGTGTTGAAAAATTAATAAAGCTAGTAAGCATATACGAATCTGTATTTGAAGCGTAGTGTACATAAATGTTTAATGTAATCCATGTTTTATAAAACATTACATATACGTTGTATAACATAAGAAGAAACAAAATATTTCAAATAAAAGATCTGTTGTTATTGTTATAAGAAATAATTTCATTTATTCATTTCAGTTTATGCATAAATTTCAAAATGTATGGAATGAATTGACAAGAATAAATAGAATCCGTTTATGTGAATTGACAGATAGCTTTATTTAAATAAAATGCCAACATAGTGCATTGAACGTTAAGAAAAGGACTCAGAAAACTCTAATTATGTCTATACTTACGCCTATTACCCCTCATGAAGGAGCATAGGCCGCTCATCAGCACTCTCCATCCAAATTTGTCCTGGGCGATCCTCTTTAATATTGTCCACTTGCTATTCATCCTTTTCATATCTACTTCCGATTCCGACGCAATGTGTCCATTGGTCTTCCTCACTTCCGTTTCCCTTCAGGATTCCAAGCTAGCGCTTGCCTCGTGATACCATTTGATGACTTCCGTAATGCATGTTCTATCCACTTCCAACATCTCTTAATTTCCTCCTCAGATGGAAACTGATTTGCCCTCCCCCACAGTAGGCTGTTGCTGATGTTATTTGGTCAAAGGATGTTGAGTATCATGTGTAGATAATTAATTATAAATACTTGTACTATTTTGATGGTTGTGGTAGTTCTCCACGCTTCAGCTCCATACAGTAGAACTGTCTTGACGTTTGTATTGAAGATTATGACTTTGATGTTAATTGACAGTTGTTTTGAGTTCCATATGTTCTTCAACTGTAAGAGTGCGGCCCTTACTGTGCCAATTCTTGCCTTTACGTCTGCATCCGATCCTCCTTGTCCATTGATGATGCTTCCCCCTCTTCCATATCTTCTCCATCAAGTGTGATTAAGATGGTGTTCTCCGTGTTGTATTTGAGGATCTTGGTTTTCTATTTGTGTATGATGAGTCCTGTTGATACAGAGGCTTCTGCTATATTGTTTGTCTTGCCCTGCATTTTTTGGTGTGTATGGGACAGAAGGGCCAGGTCATCTACGAAGTCCAAATCGTTTAGTTTCATCCAACCTGTCCATTTTATTCCGTGCTTCCCGTCAGATGTCGAGGTCCTCATAATTGAATCGACCACCAGAAGAAGGAGGAAGGGGGAAATTAGACAGTCTTGTCTGACTCAGGTCCTTACTTAGAATGCGTCTGTCGGATGTCGTCCATGCACAACTCTGAAGTGTAGTTAGTCGTATGAATTCCGGATGATATTACCGATCTTCTCAAGTACTCCATATTGTCGAAGATGTTTCCATAAATTTCTCCTATTCACACTGTCAAATACTTTTACACAGTTAGGTAAATTGATGTATAGTGACGAGTAGCACTCAACTGATTGTTCAACGATGATCTGTAGTGTTGCGACTCGGTTCATTCACGCCCGATCCTTAAGGAATCTGAACTGTTGATCTCGAAGTTGGGTGTCTACTGAATCTTTAAACCGATTCAACAACACTCTGTTGAAAACGTTTCCTGGTACTGACAGTAATGTGATGTCACTGTGATTCTCAAACTTGCGCAGATCTCCTGTCTTTGATATCCTGATGAGGTATCCTTCTTTCCAGTACATCGACACTTGTTCTCCCTCCCAAATATTCTTAAATAGAGTGCAAAGCATGTTTGCAGTTACTTTTACGTCTGACTGCAGTACTTCACGTGGTATATTGCCAGGTCCTACTGCTTTCCCACACTTGGTTTGTTCGATGGCCATCCTGATTTCTGCGATCGTTGGTGGAGTGATATCTATGAGAATGTCTGTAAATGCCACTTCAATATCAGTGGATTCAATGGAGCTGGTCTATTTAAGAGTTTTCCAAAGTGTTCTACCCATCATTTCCTCTGTTCTTGAACCTCAGTGATTTGATTTCCTCCTTTGTCCTTGAGCAGTCTCTCTAGTTTACTATATTTCCCTGATAGTTTCTTTATCGTGTCATACAGTTGTTTCGTATTTCCTTCACTTGCAGCCTTTCACGCTGTCGTCGCTAGCCCTTTCACATATTTCTGCTTGCCAGCTCTAATGCTCCTCTTCATTTGCTTGCTTGCTCTTGTGAATTCAGCCTACGCCTTGACTTGCTCTGTTTTGTTCGGCTGTTTTTAATTACCGCCCTCCTGTCCATCCCTTCTTTAATCTTGCCCAGGGTTTTCGTAGAGATCAATTCCTTATGATGATACTTTTAGAGGCCCAGAACCTCTTGACAAGTTGAAATTAATGCTTCTTTGATACCTTTCCAGTTGCCTCCATAGTAGTTTTTTCTTCCTCCAGTAGATCTTGTAAGGCCTGGAATCTGTTGTTGAGAGTTATCTTGAATTCATTGAGTTTGTTAATATCCTGAAGGAACGCTCTATTGGACCTTTGTAATGCTGTCTGTTCATTTGTCCGGTTCTTCTTTAGCTTCAGTTTCATGTTTGAAACCATGAGGTGATGAGTTGATCCTATGTCAGCACCTCACACTCAACTCTGCTCCTTTACCCGTGTTTGGTATCGGCAGTAGCCTTAAAAGAGCTAAAGGCGGAGTTATTCACGTCTGTGCGTCATAGTGTATAACTTAGAAACATGTCATGGGGAGCAAGTATATCATGATTTTTAAAAAATGAATAAAATTACGTTAGGCACGTAAACACCGATTCAGATCATATATGCATACATGTATGTGCCTAAAATAATTAAACGTGTTCAACTTCTAATTGTGCCTACACTTTACCAAACGTAACACACATATTTGCATCCATACATAGAGCACAAAACAATGAATGTATGGTGGTCGAAAAATGGTATGTTGTTTCTTTCACATTAAAAAAATAACCAAGATAGTACTTTTTAAGTAAGCACTTTATTGCATGTCAATGATAATATACATGCAATTTTTGTAATATTATAATAAATAAACTGAATAAAGCGTCATAAACATATACATATGTTTAAATATTACTAAATTGCGAAATGCACATATAGCTGACCACCAATTGTTCCAATTAAACTTGCAGTTAAATAACTCATTAAACCATACCAACCAAATCCAATAATCCAATAAATTGTAATACCATAAAATAATATTGCGTATGGTAAGAAATCGAAAAGGTGAAATTTTTCAAGTTCTAAGCATTGTTTAGACATTTCATCGGTGAAACAATCAAGAAAATTCTGTTTAATTATTGTTAAATCATTTGGTAAACATCGGATATTTTTACTACTGTAATTATTATTATTATTATTATTATTATTATTATTATTATTATTATTATTATTATTTGTATCCACATCATAGTTGTTAAGTGTTGTTATCGACTCGGCAATGTTTTGATGATTGGTATGACTGTGATTTTGCAATGTTTGAGATGATTTATAAAATCTTGTTTGTAAATTATCGATAAAACTAAGAATTAATAAGGTAGAAAAACAAAAAAAGTGTTTCAATCAGGGCAAGATTATTAGTAATATAAACTGATATTAGCTGGATCATTATTCAAAAGCTAGAGCTACTCTATAGCTATTATATTTTTAGTTTGAAAAGCTTTGGAAATATACAGTCAGGGTAAGTGGGGAGTATGTTAAATGTATATTATTAATATGAAAACTAATGGTTCACATTTTTAACTTCAAGTTGATTTACTATAATGAGTCGCCGTAGTTGGTTACCGTTTCTCATAATATTAAAGGATAATCATTCATTGTTTCACGATTTGCAAGAGCTGTCTGATTGTAATTTAGTTCGTGATGCAAAACAACGATTTGAACAATTATCACAAACGTAACTTATCTTAATCGAAATAAACTAAAACGATAAAAACGTTATTCTGAGTGACATACGGCCTTTTGAGAAGGATGATTCAATCTCTAAGTTGCAAGTTTGAAGCAGGATGTGATGATGTTGACCACAATGACAAAGTAAGCTTCGAAAATGAATTACTTAGTTCCAGATCTTGTGTTAGAATGTATTTTTTTGTCCTTAATTTTATCAACTAGTTTTTGACTTTTTTTGACCGTAAAAGCATATTGTTTGATGTATCTTTAACATCCCTATTTACCCCATGCAACCATTAAAGCTACCAACTCTGTACCTATGTATACCGAAGAAATCATACAATTAAGATGAAACATGTAACCAATGACTTTGTAGATAAGATTAGGAGGAGTGCTGTCAAAATAAACAATCCATCATCAGCTAGCCAATCAAACCATAAGAGGAGACTATTCACTTTGAAGTTATTATTTTTATCTCGAGTTGATATCAACCAGAGAAACGTTAAGAAACTAGGAAGAACTGATGGTTGCGTAATTTTGATTTCTTACTCTAAATATCTATGAAACTATGAAGATGATAATTTTCTCACATGAGAACCGAATAAAGTTGAAAATGTAGACTATTCATTTTTCACAGTGTTGCTTACTGTGAGAGATGAAAGTTATCAAATCAATCTCCGGCAGTATTGTACACATCTGAAAACTTCATCATTACCATGAGAAATTCATCCTTCAGACCCTAGTTTCTAATACTTTTTCAATCCAATTGATCTAAATCTTCGAGGAAAATCTATTTCGACTTTAAGTACCATCTACAAACCTTGAAACGAACTTTAATTTATTCACTTTGTCTTCTATTTTTCACATTTGCACAAAATTCAGAACCAATCAACAAATTCATCTGTTGGGTATACTTTTCAATTTGTATTCCATCCAGTAATCCAGCCAATCAAAATCTATACTGAGACTTGGGTTTAGTTGCTATTGGACACTCGTCAACAAGGTATACTTGTAGTCTTGATAGAGCACCAGCTCTCTGTCAACAGTTAAATAGGAAGAAGTTTAGATTGATCATGTTCCATCGGATTCGTTCAGTATTTAAAAGGATTAGACAAGCATGAAATTTTTCACTACTCAGTCAATTGTTGAAAAGCGATATATTAAGTGGAGAAAAAAACTTAACTTACTCATCCTTTATTCTATAACGCTCATACAGCCATTGAGTGATTGATTGACTATCACTTGGGATTTGCTTTATTGGTATACGCTTCAAATAGATGTATAAACTTCGCTGTCTTATTAACCAATCTAATAATATGTTTTAAAAGTAAAACAAAATGACATATATAAGAAACAATTTCTAACCCGAAAAAACAGCAACAACAATCAATTTCATTTTTAGTGAGTTTATTTTTATTACAACAGATGAATAATTATGTGGATTAGTTAAAGTTAGACAATAACACCGTTGGATGCTGGCTCAGTGGTCTAATGGATGAGCGTTCGCGCACGAAAACGATTGGTCCAGGGTCCGAATCTCGCGAGACGGGATCGTGAATGCGCACTGCTGAGAAGTCCTGAAATAGGACGATACCTGTGCTTCCAGGTTTCCCATGGTGGTCTAGCTCCAACTGACTTATGACCTCAACTATTAAAATTAGAATAATTATGTGTCTTAAAAGTTTTTCTATCTAATTACTAAAGTATTGACTCGATGGATCGAGATAATTAGATCGACCATATATTTTAAAGTAAATAGAAATCAGAGGAATTGCGTGAAATATGAGAAATATTTATCTCTTAGGCACAAATACTTGTGATTATGATTGTATTTGACCATTTGTTTAAATGAAGGGTAATTAATATAAATGCTAATCAAAAATTTTAATTCGAAAATACATCTTCATAATAAAAATGACAAGAGGAGAGAGATACTCTATAAAATATTAAGTCAGAACAAGGTATCATATAAGTGGGACCATGACGAAAGTGAGGATTTGACATTCAGTATATGACATAAACTGTGATTTTAAATTTTTTTTCAGTTATCACAAGCTAGACTAAGTAATTTTATTTCAAATGACTTCAAACATTACTTAGTCTTTTACACTTGATTCAACACACTATTATTTTCACAACTCAAAGACTTACTAGTTGTAACTTGTAAAAAGAAAATACTCCCAGATGTTCCGTTACATGTTGTTTTATTTACGTTACTATGTATATCAAAGGACAATAAGTAATGAATGGCTCTTATTGATAGTCTACTCAATTATTTAATGGTAGATGAATACATTACTGCCTTCACAGTCGAATATGCAATGATTACTTGTTTGGTTTTATTAAAAAAGGACGAAGTTCAAGATTCAGCCATAGATTTATGCTGTTATAAGTACCAGTATAGTGAACGACAACACAAGTGGGGGCAATCGAATGTATTTAGATACTAAGTTTTTAACATCTTAGTAAATTCTGAGAACCATACAGTGAACACTTCATTGACAAAATGTAAATCAATCGTCTCAAACTTCATTGTTCTTTTTATTCCACACCAGTACTTTTTATTCTCCTTCTCTTTTCTTTGATTTTCTTCTGCCTCCAGGCATTTCAGTTTCGACTGATGATACATATTGCATATTTCTGTCAAGATCAGTACCACACAACACACTAGTATTGAATCCGTTTTTATACATTTTTAAAATATTGAATGCAGTCGATTTTAAAAACCACGGATTGAAACGATTTACAAACAAAATTGTGGATAGAGAAAGTCATGAGGTTTAATACCACTGGTTTATACATGTGATGAATAGTTATATCGTTTTAAAAGTAAAAACTATTAATGAATGCTGAGTAGTTATTGTGATTATCCTAAGTGATTTGTGATGTTGTGATTCTTGAAATAAATAAATGTCATATGTCCGATTCCATGTCAGGGTGAACCGTTGACTAGTTTCAAACTAAAAGGAATTAACCATACAGCTCAATGATGGCTCATGTTGGAAACGGATGGAAGGAAGCTAGAGGTGGCCAAACCAAAATGTGGCATCAGTCATTCAAGTTACTAACTCCTGGTCTGAATCACGTTCGTAGATGCAGATTACTTGGTCGGGGTTCGCATGACTGTCATAACAAATGGTTGAGGACTCTGGGTGACGTGGCTGAGAATCGATCACAATGTCGTATGTGTATACACTCCTTGTGTCACCTGAAGTCGTGAGACTAAAATTACTTTATGCCTTTCTTCCTGTACTACATTCTTATACACAATCTTTCTTTTATATGTTACAATCATTGAAGTAACTACTTCTATGAATTTGGTGTTTACCTTGTTGTGCTAACTTGGACCGATGTATATATGTGTCTGATCCTACGTTGTAGCTGTCTGACTGATTGTATTTCACAGTTAACTATCTGAATTTAACCAGTGATGAAAATTACATACCATATAATGTTATATTCCTAAATGTCTAATTAATAAATTGCCTAAGTAAATATAAAAGTTTGTTGTTTTATCTACAGTTTCTAACAAGCAGTAATTCTATGAGAATAAAGCGGGCGAACATAAGGTTATTTATATTAATCTAACTGCCAATCTCAAATGCTATAGAATAACCATTTATTTGCAGTGTATATATATATATATATATATATATATATATATATATACAAAATCAAAGATACCAGCATCTGATTAAATGTACATTTTAATGCTTAGTTAATTGATATCCTATTCATTTATAAGTAGAATCTCTAACGAGATGTGCATAGTATTAAAAAATTTAAATATATTACAGGACTATAAAGTATTAGCAAATATATTGAATAGAATATTCATTGTTCATTATATACAGTATGATGTAATTCGTTGAATATATTTCTGTAATGCACTTGAAATTTATTACGTTTTTATCCATATATTCAGAAAATTCACTAATTCAAATCATGAGTCAATTGAAGCTACACCACCATCGAAAACCTGGAAACACAGGGCGGCCTTTTCGTCCTATTTCGGGACTCTTAAGCAGTGCGCATCCACGCTCTCCACTCCCGCGAAATTTGAACCCTGAACCTATCAGTCTTGCAAGCGAGTGCTTAACTATTAGACCATTGAGCTAGCATCCAACGGTGTTAATGTATAACTTCAACCAATCCACGAAATTGCGTCACCGTACACCACTGTATTCAGGACGAAACGGCCGTCCACTGCTTCCAGATTTTCCATGGTGGTCTAGCTTCAATTGACTCATGATTTCAACTAGTGAAATTTCTAAAATCTCCACAAAACTCCTGATAATATTCAGAAATGTTAATTCTAGTTTTCATTCTTCTATTATTTATGAATAGATAATCTATATTATTACTATTGTTTTAAGTAGTATTTACCATAACAAACAGTATCAAATTGAAAAAGGAATATTACTCTAATATAAATTTAAATTTATTCTTTTTTTTGTTTCGTTAAACAACAGGCTTATTCATGTTTATAATTTGTGTAGAATATAAAAAATATTAAATTAATGATTTTAATAATAATGATATGATAGAATCTAATTAATTTTGAATAAGAGAATTTCTTGTTTTAATGTAAATAAATGTCAAAGTTGAAATGGTTAATATTCATATACCATAGAATATTCAGTTACATTTATACAGATATATATTTGAAGAAATAGATCTTGTTTATGACAATTATCGATCTGTCATAAGAACAATTCACCTCATTAAATATTACTGAGCCATTGATGCAAAAAAGATCCTGTGATAGCTGATCACAATATTAAATCTAAAGGGGTTTTTTTAATGTTCTAACTGGCGTCAGATCGATGATTGAAAAGAATTTGATAATAAATATACAATTATAATTGTATGGTTTTGTTTTAAAAATAAAATACTTTGTTATCTACAATATGTTAAAAGATTGTACAAAAAAACGAGAGACTTTATACTGTCATAATGAGCTTAGAGTGTCATATCCTAGTGAAGATTAGATCACGGGTAACTTCCGAGGACTAATATTCTGTAAATATTCTTATTTTATAACTATTCAATAATTAGATTATGTATATTTATATTCCTCTTATTATAAGCTTTATTTTGACCTATAATTTATTAATCAATCAATTTATTAATTAATCGTATAATAATATACGATTTACGGTTCTTAAGCTATGTTCAGTTTATTCACTACTGCCTCCCACTTTCACTGCTACTTTTTGGCTTTATTGTGTACAAATGTTATTTTTTATTTTATGGTGCGTTGCGGTCTGTTTGTTTGATATATAAACACAGTATGTTTGAACTATATAATTCGCATAGTGGAAGCTGGTATTGTTGTTCTGAACTCAACTGGACGGGCTAGGAGGACATAGGACCAATAAGGACGCTAGGCTGCCCATACCGGTCGAATGTCATTGATTTGGCACAATGCTAAGATTGTATAAGTCGTATTTCGATTGGCGGATAAATCACGTGATACTAGCCGGACATAAAGACACAATATAGAGCATGCCACAGTCAAATGTTGTCATCGAGGATATGGTTCGGAAAGTGATATGATGGAAAGAAAAGTCAATTTTCGATTGATTTACTCATTATGAGTTTTGTCCAAGACTGCTTCTGTTTTGATTCAATGTAATGATTACTCAATGTAGTATTTGTTTTATTGTCTCGTATGATATTTTATTCTGTATAATATGCGATATTCTTGTATTCCATTGAAATGAACTATGCTCAGTATGTGATTTCTTATAACTGATTATGTGATTTAATCCTAATTATTAATCAAAAATGAGTGTACAATCAATATATAAATGAGTGTATTTTCTAGAATCGTCGTCGTCGTCGTGTTTTGGGGTTAATAAATCATCACTTATACCAGTCTTTGTGTTCTTACTTTCGCGTCGTGGGGATTGTAGAGATCCCTCGTTCCGAGTATAAGTGAAAAGCGTTTCCGACATAACAATCGGCGACGACCAGATACAAAAGAGTAGCATTAAAAGAGCCAAGACAATAAGCATTCAAACAACAAGTCATAACAGAAGGACATAAGGAAAAGATATATATGAAGGAATAGCGAGCATTAAAGAATAGATTAGTCTAGTCTATTATGACTTTGTTTGGGCTGTTATCCGATTCTTTAATTAGTGATTACTGTTAACATGCAAAATAAAACCAGGTAATTTGTATTTAAGAACACGGCACAGACAAGCAGTCAGTGACTTCGTCACCACTATATTTCTTGCAACTTACTTCCACACCAGCTAATGTAACTTTTTAAGATAGGTGGTCGACTCATATAAATGGTTTAATGGTTAAACCATTCGGCTTTTAACTAGCACGTTACAGGTTTCCCTCTCTTTTCACTCTTAAAATCACATAACGTATAAACACATGATAATTCTGAAATTTTACAATTGGTCGATCACTGAGTAATGACCAGTGTCATGTATATCAATTACTTCTTGGTGATGATCGAAGATATGATAAGGAAAACTAATTGATAAGGTCACTGACTGTGAAGCATAATCTGAGTGATGAACAACGATTGTTGAACTATTAAATCTAATCATTCTTTAAAGTAAGCAAAAAGAATATACAACAAACATCTAAGCATATTTACAAAGTATGTGAATGAAGCTGTAAAACAGACATTTCCAGAGAGGTGTTAGTGATGTGAAAGACAGTAAAAAGAAAACGAATATTTGACAAAAATGAATGATAGGCAATGTGCAAAACTCCTAATTCATAAAACTATGGCAAATAATCGAATTTATTATTTGAAACTAAACAAGTTAGGAAATGACATCATTTTTAGTCAAAGTTTGAATTATCCCCTTATTATTATTCTTAACTAAATTTTCGTCATATTTTGTTGTGATACGTGCGTCCTGTGTAGATCGCTTCGATATAATCGTTATTTCACAATTTCTATAGAGTAGAACGGTTGCGCTTAGCAGCGGAATCGACGATGCATGTTTCATCCAAACTAGAATTTATCAGCCAGATCTACTTACGCTATAGTAATGGTGTTCTAACTAAAACTTCAGCTCCGTGGTATTTGCTTCAAACTCTCATGTACTATCTAGTAGAGTGAAAAGTATTGGGTTCTGGGCTTATCAACACTGAAATATCATTAAATCTTCTTGAGGAGTCTCAAGTACCACGAAATGTGCATCCAGATTTTCACTCCTATTCACGGTCTGCCTATTCTGAATAGATATGAAGTCCATTTATTGAGGCGTAAAATATCAACCATTCATAAAAAATCTTAATATTCTCATAATTTTGTTAGTTAGCATATTATCAAATCTTACCTCCCAAACCTGGTGCAGGTATAGAATGATCACATGGATAACCATTTTCATCAGCGAATACAGTTGTCACATCGTATAAAGCATCAAGACAATCATGCATCTGATTTAATATCAACTGAATACCTCTTTTTCTTGGCACCAAAACATGCTTGAACGGTTTAATACCAGCTTTTGAAAATGAACAATATAAATAATAATGAATGACCTGATCATCACTGCACTTGAAAAAAACAATGTAAAGTATATCGTTACAACGAAAATTTTGAGCATTATGAAACTATGTACATTATTGAATTATAAATATTCAGTTCATAGTGTTGTTGTAACCTAAGAGATTAAGTTTTTTTGTCGGTAGGTATATCTTAAAAATAATTGGCTTTTGGGATGTAAATGTACAATTTAATTAGTAAACAATACATCAAATGAATTTATTTTACGAACTCGCTACTGGGTAAATAATTTTATGCATATATGTGTAACATCTTTAAATTGTCAACTAATGGATATGTTATGGTTGTAAAGCTAATGTACTGCGGCAAGTTATAAGATTACAACTATATACGGACTAAAAATAAGCTAGATAACTTTGTGAATGAAAGGAACATTAATGGCATACATTATTGAAGGTTTTTTTGTAATCTAATCTAAGAGTTGCATAAGATCAACTTGAAACAATATTCAGAAAATTACTGGCGGGAAAATTCTTGTTTAGAATGTCTACATAAGTTTGGCATTTAGTACAAATAAAACTTATGATAAGCATTTGATAAAATGACAAAGTATACGAAGTAACAATCGGATGTTACATTTTATAACAAGAGATTGTTGATAATGAACAAAATGGAAGAATGAAATATGTTTCAAACGTTTTATCCTGTGGGTAAGTTTATATCATACAACTAAAAAGCTAAAATTATCAAACTATGTGATATACTGGCATAATATTTATCGAGCGGTTTGATCACACATTAACTTGTTAAGGTTATACATGAAAACAAAGGCAAATTACATAAAATGAAAGATGAATGAAAAATGAAGATACCATGGAAAAAAATATGAAATTCTCCGCGCTGAATAGTAAATCAATATCACCAGGACAGTTTCAGTGTGCAACGTTTTTTGAAAACATAAGGAAGTTTTAAATTTCGTATGTCTAAGGCTTCGACAAACCTGAATATTTACTGTAGAGACCTATTCTATAGAACCAATGTGGCCGAGAGAAGATGAATAATTGATCTGTCTCAACTATGCGTTAAGCGATGAGCCCGGTATGGTATTTGTCATTCGCTGTTACTGGGCCATTTGGTTTTACTTATTTCCGCATTTGTTTTGGTATATGTTCAAAACCTATGACTTGTAAATCAGGGGTTTGAACAACAATTTGTGGAGAAATGTGGAAAGCTCACTTCTCACTGAAGTCTGGAAAGGCAACCAATGATACACATAGAAACCTCATTATATTTAAAAAGCTCGCGTTTTTTAGTGTTTGTGTCGTTATAAATTTAAAATTTGTCATGAATGTAATGACGTGTAAAATTCGAGCATTGTTATAAGTCAGTATATTATCTTACTTGCGAATACGAATCCAGTACTTCTGAAGTAATATACTCATATCGTTCTCCGATCAGTAGAATTCTGTTATCATTTATGATTAAAATATTACTTCAGTAAGCATGATCTTGAACATACTCTGGATACTTCAGAATCAGGAAACACTGATAATCAAGTATCCCCTAAAAATATGATCCAGTGACGAATAGAGAAGAAAGATATGATAGTTGAGAGGATATATATAGCCGTAGCTAGTTGCAGACAAGAGTTTCATGGTAGATCATGGCATGATTTGGTTGTGATGCTTGACACAGCGCCGTCAGCTAGTTGATGTTTGTTTATTTTAAGGAATGACTAACCACGACAATATGACAGTTTCACAATGTTCAAAGGTTATTTTCAACGTAATTTTAACTAGTTATTAGATTGTTGCTCGTTTCTATCATCATGCTTATCGTATGAAGAGTTGTTTTCAAACGCACTAAAATTTAACAGACTTTTTATAAGTTCCTTAATGTGTGTATGCATATATACATACCAATGATTGCAGATAAAACTACTTATCTAGTAGATATACTAGTAAGCAATATGGATGTTGTATGTTGCATACATATTCGACTTATATTTATTTAACTTTATAATAATATACAGTAATATATAATGATGCTAAGCACATTAGAAAGATGATTTAAAAGAATTGGAATATTTGACGATTGGTTATGTTGTAAATACCACTAGCGTCAAGTGTTGTATGTTTTTCTATGGCTCTCACACAAAAAAAGTCATCATGAATATAACCAACTTTATGGGTGCCAGGAAAACACAGGTAGTAAAGAGTTAATAATTGCTTTAAAGTATTCTCTTTGTGGTGCATTTAATTCCGAATTAATAAATTGTTGAATAAAAATAGAACAAATCGACGGTTGTATTCGTTTGACTAGAAACCATAAACATAGGCTTAGTATAAATATCCACTCATTATCAAAATCTAACTATCTTGATAAACTGATGTTGCCAATGATTTAAGTTATATTAATCATTCCTGGAAAATTAATGGTATACTTTTTTGGTAAGCGCTAACCAAGTACTCTACTTCTCCATGATTGTTTTCAACCACCAACCTACATCAGAATATAGTGCGAGCATTTTCGATCCGTTTAGACAAGTAGTAGTCAGACTAACTTGATTGATAAAACGTGGTAATCACCAAAGGAGTTGTGGTGTATGTTACGTATGTCTGTAATATGTAGAATGGCTGGCAGCAGAAGGGTAAAAAGATCGAATTGAAGTAAAATAGAAAGGGATTGTGAATTGAAAGAATCAGACATAAAGTAAAGGACAATTGATGGAAGTTTTGCAAATGAAGCATTCAATGTATGGTTCTCATATTTTGCAGTTTTGTACGAAATAATAAATTGGTTGTCCCTACCTAAGTTCATGTTAGCTACGGAGTTATTATTCAGTGATTAAACATCAGAATAAACTAAATCAAGATGATGAATATAGAAAATTAATTCTCTTAACTTAAATTTATACATTGAAGTGTTGTAGACTTATCAGTGTTTTATTGATGGATCTATCTATGCGTAGAATCAAACAAAAAGTTTGTGTAAATTGACTATTGAAATAACACACAAGATGTATTTAATCAAATAATTAAGTGTTACATTTTTTTTAAATGTTGAAAGCAAGATTGAATGTGATTTAACGCATAATCAACTCATATTGAGCAGATAATGTTTGTTTTATTCGTTTCAAGCAAACGTTTTAGGAATTAGACGTTGAATTACACAGATAAGCCTTAATATATATTCCTTTAAATAAGTAACGAAAATTTAAAAAAATATCAAGTTAGGTAAACTGCTAGCTATGAGATCAAATTAATGTAATTTTAATTTTGATTGAAATTGTGTCTGGTTAAGAATATCCTTCGTTCTCAAAGTAGGATGATACAAATCGTTAATGACGTACATAATGGTTTCACATCTTCATGAGGTGTTTTTGATTGGTTAGTGCTTATAGTATATGAACGAATTTAAAGTAACCACGACGAATTTTCAGCGATTTCTTAGCTAATTAGAAGACATATTTTGTAATTGGATAATTTTTGTAAACGAAAAAGTGTAAACAGATTCTTCATGAATCTTTTCAGGTCTTCTACGGGTTACTTTGCCTATAATACGAAAAACCAACGACATATAAATTCGCTCATATGCATATAGATTATCCTTCTTCTCAAACCCTTATAAGAAGACATATATATTTTTAAGAGTCCTAACTTTGTTCTTGGCTAGGTTTTGGATTAAAAGCCTCATCGTAAACCGATAACAGTTGTAAAGCAAAAATGTATTACAGCCATCTGAATGGGTGAATTTTATGCAAAAATCCTGAAGGGATTCTATCTTGAATCGAGTTAACAATTTCATGCAGCACAGGGTTTGAATTGACTGTCACATAAAATCCATGCCAAGAGAATCGACCATTTGATGCGCTTAACATTATGACGTTTAATCCCTGATCACGAAAAGAAATTTTACGTTCTATTTTAAATGGTACTACTCTGCTTACTTCTACTTTAAGTCGAAGTGGCTGATTTCATTCAGCACGAAAATAAAAGCTGAACACTTAAATGAACATATGTTTATGAATTTGTAAACACTTTTATTCTTTAAATAAAATTATAAATAGCATAAATTTAATAAATTGTAATATATGGATAATAAAACCTAGATGAGGAATGTTTATAATGGCGATTCGATCAATAGGAGACATTTATATTATATGAGTCGATATTGTAATAAAATCACGAAATAAGAAAAATTAAACTGAGGTTAACCGTCGAATTCACTAGGATCAGTGCAACTGAGTGTTTAGACTAGCCGTATTGTATGTTAACAAAGACATGAAATCGTACTGTAACATCAAGAAGCAAGCGCAATGAAATTAATCGGTGAGCATCAGGTCGTCATAAAGATATGGAATATTGATTACCGTATAAAGTTTAACGGTTTGCAATTATCATATAGATCTAAGTACTTTGAAAAGAAAAAAAGAAACGAATACTTTAGAAAATTTGAATTCAAAGTAGTTTCGTTCACTGATAATGTTATTGTGTTAAATGAAGAAGGTTTCTGAATTTTTTGAACCAGTTTTGAATAATTCAAATACCTAACTTTCGTTCTTCTTGTTTCGATGTCAGGATCAACAGTAATGCTTGCCGGAGGCCCTACTACTTTATGTTCTCTTTTGATGTGTGCCAAGAATTTTAGCTTTGCATAATAAGATTTTTCATTTGAACTAGGATTATATTAATGAGTTGTCCGTACATAGCGTATTGGGTCTCACAGCCGATCTACGTTAGTACCAAATCAGAGAGCGGTCAATCTATGTTGGTATTAACGATTCTATTGCTCACCCAATAAAGACTGCTGGTGCAAAATATTTCAACAATTAGCCTCTAACCCAAGGGAAAGATGAATTTTATGAAAGACTTAATACTCAAGTAGAACAATATCAAATGATACAACTCTGTTTAGATGGCAATGAAACAATGAATTTCAAATTTACACAAAATAAACGGACTAATATTAGTGGCACCCAATCAGATAAGGACTAACATCATACAAAAATGCATCTGGAAAAAAGTATTATCAAAAAGACTAGGAGTTTTAGGGAAATTGAGTAATCTCGAGACCAGTTCGTCACAAAGCAAAAATATTTTATTGTATATTCAAGACAGTGATCAAAAACATTTGCTCATTAAATGTACGTTATAGACCAGTCAAGTAATATTGATTAGATTACTGAACATTAATTGACTGAGTAGCTGATTGACAACGAGTTGATGAATTAATGTATTCAATCAACTGCATGAAATATCCATTTCTTTTTTCCCTATATACATAAATAAAATTATTTATTGACTGTGGTTACATTCAGACACCTAAATATCATTATTATAATTAGGATGTAAATAATTAAATTAGTTTGCAGTGCATAACAGTCAGTTGCTCAGTTACAACGTAGGATCAGGCACATATATACATCGGTCCAAGTTAGCACAACAAGGTAAACACCAAATTCATAGAAGTAGTTACTTCAATGATTGTAACATATAAAAGAAAGATTGTGTATAAGAATGTAGTACAGGAAGAAAGGCATAAAGTAATTTTAGTCTCACGACTTCAGGTGACACAAGGAGTGTATACACATACGACATTGTGATCGATTCTCAGCCACGTCACCCAGAGTCCTCAACCATTTGTTATGACAGTCATGCGAACCCCGACCAAGTAATCTGCATCTACGAACGTGGCTCAGACCAGGAGTTAGTAACTTGAATGACTGATGCCATATTTTGGTTTGGCCACCCCTAACTTACTTCCATCCGTCTCCAGCACTGGTCAGCATTGCATCTCGTGATTGGTGGTTGAGCATGCGTATTATGTGGCCCAACCATTTCAGTTTATGTAGATTCACATCCTCATCAACTGATTTACCATTATTCCCTAATACCCTGCGTCTAACCTCTCCATTACTGACCCGGTGATTCCAATAGATGGAAGCAATATTTCTAAGACATTTGTAAATATCTACTTGTAAATTGCGAGTATCCTTTACTCTTTGTGACAACGTTACGTAGTAAAAGAGAACAAACTGCAGTGCAGTCTAACTAAGCCTTAATTGATTGACGGATATCTCGCCTTCTTCATAGATGACGTAAATCTGCAATAACCGGACGAGGTTCCTGAATCCGTACAGACACCAAAACATTATGGCTGATCAAACTGACAAGATAAATGGATTTGTCGACGCGTTCGACTACTTCAATTCATATCCTTAGTTAATACGTTGACACAGACCGGTCCCAAAGCAAAAATATACAATTAGATGTGGGAGAAACTCATCCAAAACATCTTGGCATTGTTGTTCAGTGCTACCAAAAGACTCTGCATTTTATTAGCGTCTTCACCAAACACGACTATATTATCTGAGTATTCAAAGCATAACATATATACACTAAATAAATTGTAATTGATGAAAGCTTCAACAATCCATCTTGGAACAACTTATAATTAATATCATTGATGTGTTAATAAATTATGAGGTAATTATGATAAGTAAACCCATTTATTATTAATTATAATTTGTGAATTTTCATAAATTATAAAATATATTTCTCCATTGTCTTTTATCATTGACTTAGTAAAAATGAAACATATTGAATTCCATAATAACCATATTCACTTATAAGTTATTTATCTATAGTAGTAAGTTAATAAAATAATAATTTATGGAATAAACAACATAGGCGTTTCAGTAAATAACAAATAAATGAGACTTTGATATTTAAACAATTATAATTACGATAATACAATGATCATTATTGTTAGAAATTAATTAAAGCAGCTTCATAACAACAAAATATCAATTAATTGTACGTTATTACAATTAATGATAATAATAATAATAATAAAGATTAATGTGATAATAATATCTATTCCAATAAATCATTATAGATATTACATAACATGGATGTCTATGAAGTAACCACAGTTACTAATTTATATATAGAAACCAATTTAATTGAACATTTTCTTAATTTTCATATTACTCTCTAATAGTATACTAATGTAGAATGAAAATTCAAGTGAGTTGTTAGTGTTGTGAATAAAATAATTGAGTTCGTTGTTAACATTTATCTATCAACCACATTAGATGATGTACATATCATAGTACACAATTTGACAGAAATTAATGAATGTCAATCAATGGATAATGATTGAAAGTGTAATTTATGTCATAGTCGTTCAAGAATTTCATATCTTTGAAGTATTTTTGAATATGAAGTCAAAAGTGGATAAACTATAACAGATTTATAATCGAGAATAAAAACTACCAGGTTTTATATGATACTTCAATTGACAGAAATCATATTTAATTGAAGTATTATACTTGGGTTCAGTCAGTCAGTCAGCTACAACGTAGGACCAGGAACATATATGCATCGGTCCAAATTGTCATATCACATAAGCACAGCAAGATGAACACTGGATTCATAGAAGTAGTTAATTCAGTGATGGTAATATATAAAAGAAAGATTGCATATAAGGATATAGTACAGGAAGAAAGAATTGGTTCATAGAAAGATATGAAACGATTTTAATCCCATGGTTTAAGGAAAGGCAGAGAGTGTAAACACCGACGCCATTGTGATCGATTACTTCACCCCCTATCTTTAGTTCAGGTGTTTACGCAGACCAGTCTTGAAGCAACAACTTGAATTTAGAGGGAGAGAAGCGCATTCCAAACATTCTGGGATTGTTGCTTAGTGCTACCAAAAGACTCTGCATTTTATCAGAGTCTTCACCAAACAGGACTATATCATCTGCGTACTCTAGGTCAATAAGTGGACCTCCTGGTAGGGAATGAATGCCCGAGAATTCAGTCGATGAGAACGTTATTTCAATCAGTAGATCTATGATGAAGTTGGACAAAAATGAAGAAAGTGGACAGCCTTGACGGACAGCACTTGATTATACTTAGGTTGGAAATGTCTTGTGAAGATTGGATCGGAACAACATATATAAGTGAACAATATTGTTTTCGATTGGATCGTCATCAGGCTTTACTTCAATATACAATAATATTTATATGCATATATGAAATTATTAAACTAATAAAGGCATTTTATGAGACAATGATAACAATGGAATAGATTACATAAATAAGTGAAAAGTACAAATTGGTAGTGTGATGACCGGTGTACTAGTTGCGATAAAAATAATAAAGGCATAAATCAATGTTATTATTCTTATCGCAACTAGTACACCGGTCATCACACTACCAATTTGTACTTTTCACTTATTTATGTAATCTATTCCATTGTTATCATTGTCTCATAAAATGCCTTTATTAGTTTAATAATTTCATATATGCATATAAATATTATTGTATATTGAAGTAAAGCCTGATGACGATCCAATCGAAAACAATATTGTTCACTTATATACGTTGTTCTAAATCACGAAATGGGAATATTTCAAATTTTGAAGACTAGTTTAATTTATAGATCATGTTTGTCAAAAAGTGGTCTCAGTTGACGGTACTATTGAAAACTAAAGAAATTTAGACATAGAGACCAGAGCATCTTCTTTCCTATATATTACGAAACATCTGTCCATTATTCCCTGGTATTTGGTGGTGCAAAAAATGTGATTAGTCTGTGATACATACATGAAATGAAAAGCAACCTCACAAAGTGAAATGATCTTTTCTAAATCTTAAACTAAGCAATGAACCAATGTTATGAATAGCTTGTCTATAATATCTTTGAGTAATAAAAGTTTAAAACTTTAAAGAAATATTAGTTTCACTAAGGTTTAAAGTACACCTTGATGTCATCACATGACGTAAAAGAATTTAGAAAAATTTAGTACCCTAATAATATATTTATAACATTCTTTATAATAAAGTTTAAAGGATTCAAAAGTGAAATATTATGTTATTTTACAAAATGGCAGTCACGTTTACCTTTCTCAACGGCGAATTTTTGCGAAGCTTGAATCACATCATGCTTCCATGGATTGTATCTAGTACCTTCAGGGTAAATAACCATCCAAGTCTGTGTATGAAAAGAAGAAAAATGGTTTGTGAGTAAAAATATCAACAAAATATCTATCTTGACTGTAAAAGTGGGTTATGTAATTAACAGTAATTGACAAATTTAGATTACATGAGTAAAACGCAGTGGAATAACTGAATTAGCATTTTAAACAGATTTCAAGACTGCTAAAATTTAGTGAATGGTTTTTGTCGGCAAACTGCTAAATTTTTATTGAGTCTGATTAGTAAGCTTCATTTGTGGTCATGATTACGAGCACGACAATTTCATGCATTTGAATGTGTAATGCTCACCGTTAAAATAAATTTCAATATTTTGATCTAACCTCACAAGAATACAGTGTTTCAATATCTCCTAGCGTGTGTAATACAGACGGGAAGGTACACTGAGCAAATGCATTATTCATCTAAACAGAGTAAGCTCACATATGTTCCTATGGTAATCAATCTGTTTACCCTCGGATGTGCACAAAATGCGAGTAGATTTATTCAATATTTAATTAAATAGCTTTAAATACGTTGATGATTTGGTCTCCTATCTATTTGTACTAATTATATATTCACGAAAGCGCGTAATCACTTGACTGGAAAAAACTGTGAAACATCTTTCGAATTTAAAGAACACCGTTGGGTTTCCTCATTTAAATAAGCACATAATTTTATCAGAAGGGGTTTTTGTGGATATCATAGTAATTTTAATAGTTGAAGTCATGAGTCAGTTGATGCTAGACCACCATGGAAAACCTGAAGGCACTGGGTAGCCTTTTCGTCCTAGTGTGGGACTCCTCGCCAGTTCACATACACGATCCTGCACATGGGATTCGAACCCATCACCTCTAGTCTTGAGTGAGAATGTCTAACCTCTGGACCACTGAGGCGGTATACAACAGTGTTAATGTCCAACCTCAACAAATCCACCATATTGCGCAACCGTCCTGCATTAATGAGGAACAGCCGTCCAGTGATTCCAGACTTTCAATGGTGGTCTAACTTCAATTGACTCATGATCTCAATCTGTGAAATTTCTAAAATCTCCACAAACCCCTTCTGATTATTATTATTATTTGTATCTCAACCGCAACACAATAATTCCTATTTTATATTAATTTTTCTATATACTATTTTAATTTATCCACTAAAAATCATCGCTTTGAAAGTATCTTATTTTTCCAAACCTGTCCCGGACATTACTACTTATAAAATCTTGTTTTATTTTATTTATAATTTGTGGTATTTAAGATTTAATCAACCAGAAATTTATCATTTTCTAATTATAACATTAATTTATTAAATTTCATTATTATTTCTTTTCCCCTTTCTTTTAGACTATTATAACATGACAACAAGTTTACATTTGTAACTGTAGCGTTTGATAAATTAATTATTAATAACGATTATTCACTTGGATACATTTTGTTCTTGTGTGTTAATAAACAATAATAACATTATCTATCAATCAATACTTAATTGAAGAGCATAAATCGATAAATTTTATTGATAAACATTAGATAAACAAAAGAAACATTATTATTATTATTTATTTATTTATTTTTTGATTTCAACACAATTAACTTTTATATTTACTTAATTGCTATTTACAAAATAAACAATCTTAGATCTAATTGTATTGTAATTAAATATTTCATATATAAATAAGAATTTTTCTTCAAATGATAATATTCAATGGATTTTGTTTATTTTTATACTTAATTAAATATACATTTGATGTTGTTTTACTTGAATCGTCCCATTGATGTATAGGACTGCGACTGACCAGTCTTTTATTGAAATATATGCATACTGTGCGTATTGCTTTGATATCACATTAATTCACAAGCATTGTATGCAAAGATGGATAGTGGTTAGCAGTGGAATTGAGGACGCGCGTTTCGTCCTATTTGGGACTCGTCATCTGGATGTACCTGCATCTCAGAGTTGATGTTCACTCTGTAGCTAAGTGGATAACGGGATGGCGTTTGAAGCAAACAGTACTGGGTTTGAGTCCCAGAGTGAACATCAACTTTGAGATGCAGGTACGTCTAGCTGATGAGTCCCAATTAGGACGAAACGCGCGTTCTGGGTTCCTCTGCCAGCCACTATCCATCTTTGCTTCTAATTAAATATCATTTAAAATGTTAAATGAATAAATGAACTATCAGTTTGATCAGCCTAATAAATGAAGTCAGTAGTTGTTGATCATTTCATTATTTGATTAACTAATTTTTGAAATTAAAACGATGAAAAATAGTAATTCAAATAATAATGATAATAATTAGTTAATTAGGAGGAACGTTTCTCTAATGATCATAATAGTATTAAGTATGATTTAATATTTATAAAATAAACTTTGATAATTTGTTTGATCCAGCTTTTAATTTCAGTTTATCAGGAAATAGTCGGAATTCAACATTTTTAATGTTCATAATGTGTATTCAACTGATTACCAGATAAATGAGTTGAGAAATTAACTTAAAGCCAAACTGTGAAAGAAAAAATGATGCTACCCGATTTCTCGAGTAGGTGAAGTGTGTTTAATACTTGTAACTTGATAATAGAAAGTCGTACTACTTAACCATAAACCACTGCTATATACATTTTATGCAAAGCCGACTGTTTTCAACAGAAAATACTTCATTGAGAATAGTATGGAAGAAAGTGTTTCTATCATTGTGTTTTGAAAAATAAACTATATTTTTTAAACCGAACTGCTAGAAAACTTAACAATTCAATGTACAGATAGATATATAAGAAAAAAATCTTAAGTACAATTTTGATGTATATTTCTTTTCATGTTCACATTCATCAAGCTGAACGATGATGAACTAGAATACAAATAACACCTTTCTTAAGACACTATTTATTATACTCATCAAGAGGTATTACCTGTTATTTAATGTTAGTCTTATTATATCATTTATAATCGAATGAAATATATACAGTCACTAATCACCTGAAAGTAAACTTGAAATGGTCGGTAAAAAGTAATTTTAAATCATATGTAAATTCGATAAACCTAACTCGGTGAATAATCATTTTGTTAAACATGACTTATTATTAAGTAGTCACCAGAATACATATGAATGTATATGCATACTTTTTCCTTAGAGTAATAAAAGATAATAAAAGTGATTTATCTTCCACATATTTGTTTAACCAGCATAAAATTGTAGCATTATTATTCATTTATAACGAAGCTGGTTATCTAAGTCAAAGAAACAGATGAATTATGGTTAGTGGTTTGATCTACAACATATCTCAAACTGTAATACGTTAACCATTGAAATACTGAGTCAAGATAACCACCAGCTATAGCGGTGACTATGATTTTTGCTAACATTAATATTAAGTATTTAGATTATTCTCTTGTAAATATAATTGATGAAGGTTTTGATTCGTCTTCGTAGACATATATGAATGTTGTGAGTTAAATTAAGTGTTCAATTTTTATCAACTGGAATAGTGACACAATTATTATATTTTGTAAACATTCACTAATTATTAGTATCATTTGATTACATACTTATGTAAATGCTCTGTAGATGATACCTTTCACAGTTAATTATCGAGGGAATTAATAACATACATTACAGAATTTTAATTACATTGAAGATTCCCATTGTGAAAATTCGAACAACACATATAAGCGAACAATTGTTTTCAATTAGATCGTCATCAGGCTCTACTCTAATATATATGAATATTTATACGAAAATGTTAAACCAATCAAGGCAATATGGGTCAATAATCACAATGAAATAGAATAGGTCACCACATATAATGGGTAAAAGTACAATTTGGTAGTAGGAAGACAAGTGTACTGATAGCAGTAAGAATAATAAAATACGATAATAAAAATCTTATCAATAGTTAAACGTTGGAAATAGAAGGTCAGACGTGGGTAAATAAACTTGGGATAGTCATCACAAAACATTTAAATCATTACGTAATAAGAAGTGTGTAAATAATTAGATTGTGAAGAATGCAAACGGCAAGAGGCAGAAAATTACAAACAAATACTAGATGTGAAAATAAGGCTAATAATAACGAAAAATAGAATAAAATAAATAAATAACAATAATAAAAATTGAAGAAAAAAGAAATCGTTAGTGAAATTATAACTGGCCATGGAAGGGATAGGGGGGTTACGAATTTCTTCTGTACATATAAATTGGGGTTATATGTACAAATTCCTATGGCTTCAGCTATATGTAGGAGGCGTGAATGAACTCCGTTGGGAAATGATGGAGGTATACGATAGAGCACTCGAAATGCTTTCGATTTATCTGCAGCATGACCGCTATCAATGAGATGTGCCAAGATAGAACTATGTATTGTTTTTATCTGGCTCTTTATAAACCAAGCAGGTAGATGTTCACTCATTCGTTGGTTAAGTTTCCTCTTTCCGTTTGTATTCTTTACTGTCTAATTATTTATACACTTCTTATTACGTAATGGTTTTAATGTTTTGTCATGACTATTCTAAGTCTATTTACCCACGTTTGACCTTCTATTTCCAACGTTTAACTATTGATAAGACTTTTGTTATAGAATTTTAATTATCAACAGCACATTACGTAGATTTTATATATATAAAAATATAAGGATATTTCTCATCCGTAAATCATTGTAATTATGTTGAAGACTATTATAAAATATCATTAATGTAAAATATTATAATATTATAATATAAGTACTATGAAATATGGTTCTATTCTCTATGCAACGTTGGAAACAGTGATGAATTATCGTGCCCAAGTTGAATTTACAAAAAGATGGACAAAAATTGCAGGTATCATTATCAAGGTTTGACTTCATAATTTCGAATCAATTGAGCATTGAGTAGATTGTTATAAATAAATTAATATATTTATAATATCCCAGTGAGAGAATATTTATTTTCTGAAGAAGTAGCCTACGCTGAGTTACGAAACGTCAGAAAATTCAATTTTTCTACTCATTGGGATATTATAAATACATTAATTTATTTATTAAAAAAACTTA